GAAGGAAAGCGATTGATCCAACGGTGATGTAAGCAATCCCCAAAAATGGATTTTTTCCTCCCATCCATGAAATAGTGCTCAAGATCATCCGTTTTCGTCCATCAAAAGAATGTACAGGGTAATCTGAGAAGGGTATAGGAAGCCTTTTCCATTTCTAGCTACTCGATGTTTAAAACACAGATTTTAATACTGCTATTTAATTGCTTATAATTCACTTGTATAATTCTGACACAACCTTGCTCATATGTTCTGAATCACAAAGAAATACATTATTTTGAAAGGGTGATTTAGCAAATTAAATGTCAGTAGTAAAGGGCTTGGGATTCAGCTCAGTGGTTCCGCCGTCTGCTTTGCAAGCACAAGGTCCTGAGTTCTATTCCCAGTACCAAAAAAAGGAAAAAGAAAATGTCAGTAGTAAAACCAAAGTATTCTACCAAAACAATAAAATTTAAGGATTAGTTTCTCAGTTGGTTTTGCTGTCAATTCACAGGAGCAAAAAACTTCAAAAGTAATATGGTATGAAAAAATACTTCAGAACAACAGCAATGAAGCTCAAATAGGAAGAGGAGGTTGACAGACCAGGAGAAAATGGGAGAATTATGGAAGTGGAAGTATCTGCAAGCTCAAAGAACAGGTGTAACAAGAATGAAGCTAGGAGACTGAGAGGGCTCTGAGCACAAGGCCAAAAAACACGGCACTAAAGGCTTAACTTGACGGTTTGGAGCAATGATAAAACTCATGTTCACTGGGTATGGTAGCATACACCTGTAATCCCAGCACTTGGGAGGCTGAGGCAGGAGGATCACTGCAAGTTCAAGGCTAGCCTGGGCTACCTAGTGAGTTCAAGGCCAGGCTGAACTACATAGTGAGACCCTGTCTCATAAAAACAAAGGAGGAAAACAATTCATGACGTGGCACAGAGCTGAAGGCTAGAACAGAGTAGAAGTAAAAGGAGGCTATGTAGGAGATTTAAGAAAGGGGACACTAGTATATCAGATGTATTCTCTACATAGACCTGTTCTAGGATTCTGATAAGGCAGAAATAGGACAGAACGAAGTCCCTATTGAAAAAAGTGTACAACTTTTTCAAAAGCATCATATGAATCAAGCATTGGGCCCCATCTGTTTCTATAGTTTCTGCAACTCTCCACCCTCACAGGTGGAGCCCTGTGACTCCAAATGGCAGGCTCAGTTCTACTGATGTCTTAAGTCAATCCTAAACTGAGGCAGGAATAATTTTAGGTGCTCTGCACAATCCAACACTCTAGGAACCCAACACAGCATCAAATCATCCATGCTAGACTGTATTTGCCTTTAAAAGATGGGCTTCTGCCTTAATTCCAGTATCTAGTTCCTATTTTACAGCCCATTTTGATCATCAACACTGGATGTTCACAGGCCCAAATTCCTGTCTTGTTGGTCTTCAAGAAACCCTGCACTCTTCCTGACAGTTCCCCTTCCGGTGCTTGGGACCCTGCTGCAGACTTCCTGCATCTGAACTGTCTGTCAACTAAGAACTCCTGCCACCCCACAGACTTCCCTCACTGTGCTCTGCAGACTACCGGCTACTATTTGTCCTTACTCTCTACTAGACCTTTTAGATGCTGTCAGAGCTGCCCTCTGCTGTGGCTTCCTCCTCAGGATGTTCTTTCTGCCAGTACCGGAAGTGCGTCTTGCATCCAAAATTGCTCCTACATAAGCCTAGCTTCAGAAACTTGTCACTTTCACTCTGCCACTCTCAGGCCATATTCATTTATGTATTCAGGTGTAACATTTAGGATCCAAAAATAATCCTTATTTTGATCTAATTTAACCATTTACTAACCCAATTTAAAACCAAAACTCTATTTATAGCTCATTTAGCTTATGAAAAATAAAAGATGCAAAGATCATCAAATATTTAAAATGCTAATATTAAGAATCTTTTCATTTAAAATATACAGTATATAAACAATGGACTAGCGATTAAAAGATATAAGACTTTCTTTAGAACAAAATATTTCCCCGCTAAGAAAGACTCTGCATCTATGCAGGTACAGATTGGTCTGGCATCCTGGTGACCTAGCCAGGATGCAGCCTGTGGTGGTGGCTGAGGGTTGGGTCATGGCCTTTGGAGTCAATCCCTTGGTCTGAACCCCAGCTATTCTCATTACTACCTGTATAACCTAAGTCAGCTACGTAAGTATTCCAGGTTCCAGTATTCTTGTCTATAACATGAAGACAATACCTACCTTATATTACTACTTGAATTAAATAATACACGAACAGTACCTTACAACAGTGTTGAAATATAGAATGGAATATCAGTACTGAAAGTGAACCTGACTTACTAATGCAGAACAACATAGCCGATGATAAAAATTTTTTGATACTATGAACAGAACCATATGTATGAACAATTATGCTGAAATGAATTAATGTATCTACTTATTTTTTGTTTGTGGGCTTTTTTTTCATTTTTTTGTTTTGTTTTGAGATAGGGCCTTATCATATAGTCCACATTGGCCTTGAACTCATTACATAGCTTAGGCTGGCCTTGAACTCAAACTCTTCCTGCCTGAGCCTTCTGAGTGCTGAGATTATTGGTGTACACCACCATGTCCAGCACATCTGCTGATTTCTGACATCTAAAAATACATATTAAAAAAGCTCAGTACAACCACCTATTTATACGTACACTCACTGCCCTTTCTGAAAAGCTCAATTACAGTCTCTCATAAAAATCTCTAGTTTTTTTTGTTGTTGTTGTTGTTTTTTAACAGGGTCTCGCTATGTAATTCAGGCTGGCTTTGAATTTACTAAGTAGCCCAAGCTGGCCTCATGGTGATCCTCCTGCCTCAGTCTCCTGAGTGCTGGGATTACAGATGTGCACTACCACACCTGGCTCTAGCTTCTTCATCCACAAAGCCATCTAGATTTTAAGTAATTTTACTAAGTGATATGCTTGAAACCCTAGTACAAAGTATATACATATTTGAGACCTTTCTAGAAGATACATCCCTCATGCACAAATAATCATAAAAATGCAGGGATTAAAACTAAAGCAAAGAGTAACACACCACTGCACTGAGATGACTGCAGTAGATCCCTTTCAAGTTCAATGACTCTGCACACACAACCAAAAAAGGATACTGTATGTGATATTCAAATAGTACTGTCCAGCTGGTAATGTTGGATGTAAATCATCTTTCCGCTCTATAAGACGATACAACTTTCGAAAAGTAGGCAATGCTGCAGTACGCATCCAAACAATAAAATCCTCATTTATGAAGCCATTATTATCCTCTTCAGAATCCAGCATGTACACTGGTTTGAGCCAGTTTACTGGCTTTGTTGTTCCTTAAAGAAGAGTGGAGGGAGGGACGAAGAAACAAAATATTTATTCTATTGAATTTCAATGAAAAGGCATACTCTACTAATACAAAGATGTGCAATACACAATCTGAAACTTTAATTTCAAAGACAGATAGATAGATAGATAGATAGATAGATAGATAGATAGATAGATTCATGTTCTAAGGAAGTCTTAAAATCTAAGAAACCAATTCCTTGTGTAACAAAAAAATTTATGAAGACTTGGTTGGTATCTCAATTAAGAGGCTACAAAAACAAGAATATTCAGCATATACTAAAAGGGATATTACTTAGTGCAAAAATATAATGTTAAGAAATATTTACAAGTCAGTTATCCAAGCACTCTGGGAGGCTAAGGTAGGAGGATGGCAAAACCATTATTTTTAACAAGTGGGGATCCTGTGGGCTCAACCCTCAGTACTGCACACACACACAAAATTACACTGTTAAATTAAGGCAGCAATGAAACAAAAATAAAATTGTGTTATAAATAATAGTCTTGTTTAAAACAAATTTGGGGGTAAGTATAAAAATTATAGCTGAAATGCTTGTAAGAAAACCCCCCAAAAATTGGACTCACAATTAAAAGAATGTATTTCCTTTAGTATTTTAATACATCAGAATTTTTACCTAATTTGGTATGAAGCTGAGGAAAGAAAAATTTTCAAAGCAAACATTTTAAGATTCTAAAGATAGAAAAATTAAGATAGTTCACCATGGCCGGGGATTTAGCTCAGTGGTTCCTCCGCCTGCTTCACAAGCGCAAGGACCCAAGTTCAATCCCCGGCACCAAAAAAAAAAAAAGATAGTTCACTAAAATATCTGGTTTATCTTTCTGTAGTGAATATGAGTGCTTTTCACCTTTAAATCGTTCTTCCAGGGCTCCTTCTCCAGGAGGATTTCTGAACTTCACATGTTTGTCTGTCCACCAAGCAATACCTTTCCTTTTCAAATGAATAGGGGTAGGGGTAGGATCAGATTCATTGGCGACCAGAAACAATTCTAATGTATCTAACAAGAAAAGGAAAATATTAGTTAACATCTGCTAAAAATCCACAGCATCTGCTTTATTCTATGAAAAAGTGAAGATGCGGTATTTGCTCCCCAGAGTAGTTATGACAGAGAAGGCACATGATTTACATCTGCTCTTTATTCAGACGTGGATCGGCTATGTTAACTTCATAATTCTAGATGAACTTCTCTTCCCTCAATACAGATCTAAGTCACTTTCCTCTTAGGCTAGCTACCTAATATGTGAAATAGAGTGTTTCAATATTTACCCAAATAAAATTAAAAGGTAAATCTGCCTTTCTTCCCTTCTCATCAGTAACATATTCCTGATACCTTCTGGCATATTAATTTCTGTTTGTGCAAAGGCCCACATGGCTACTGAGCCCTTGAAATGTGTTTAGTACAAATAAACACACTCTGTAAGTGTGTAACACACATCAGGGACTTAGTATAAAATATATATTAATTGCAGTAACTTTTATGTACTATTACATAATGAAATGATAATATTTTTGGCATATTGGGTTAAATAAAAATATTATTAACATCAATTTCACTTGTTTCTTTTGAGGGTTTTAATGTGACTAGTAGAAAATTAAAATTAACTATATGGCTCAGGTTTATGATCCACATATTTCCATCAAACTCCAAACGATTAACGATAGCCCTTTCAAATGGTATCAGTAATAAAAGTCAATGGGAATAGCAGCTTGGCTTTTATTATATATATATGGACTACAAGATTAGCAAAACATCTTCGCTTCTTTCTACTCAGAGATAGAAATTTATTCTTAAATATAAAGATGCTCAAAAGGAAGTCAGTCACAAAGCATTATAAACCCCACTCAATACTTAATTATTTATTGTAAAGTTGAATTTCTCAGTTTCACTCATGATTACTAGATTATCAAATCTGTAGGAAGATTGTACAAGGTGTCCTAGTTATATATGTCTATATATGTATGTTTGTATCTGTACCATACCATTAAACATGCTGTTGGCAATAGCTCCACAAGGAGCAATCGGTAGGTCTTCATTTCTTTGATAGGGCTCACATTCCTTACTGGGATTCTGGTTTTTAGAAGGAAAAGAAGAGATATTATTACCTAAGCTTCTGAAGAACTGAGTCATCCCTTGATTTAAAGTTCTACCCCTGCCTTTTTCATTTGTAATAAATGCAAAATCAGTCTGTAAAGAAAGCAGGCTAACATTCCAGTGTAAATAATATTACACTGGAATACTCAAAATATATTCCTTTTTAATGCAACTTCTACGTGCATATATTGCTATACATGCATATATCAAATTAATTAATATCTTTTGGATGTTGAAATCAACAAAGAAACCACAAAAAGTTTTCTGCCTGAGAAAAATTAAGAAATGGCCTATTGATCTAGCTGTGACATAATAAAGGGGAATATTAAACTGGAAGTAAAAAAGATGAGAGTTCTCATTTCTTGAACAAATCCTTTGATTAAACTGAGCCTCACGTATAAAATGGACATGTTCAAATTAGTAATTTCAAATTTTGGGGCTGGGGATTTAGCTTAGTGGTTCTGCCGCCTGCCTTGCATGCACAAGGACCCGAGTTCAAAAAAAAAATTCAAATTTTATAATTTTGGGTTAAACCCTACATCTAATTAAGGGAAGGAGTCTACACTAGACTCCTAGACTGCAGCAGCCTCTAACTTGTGCATGCAGAACTAAAGAAAATGGAAATGCTGGCCAGGTAGACTGTCCAGGTGCCCTCCAGCTTTAGCCTGGACTTAGTTCCTACTGATGACCTCAAAGATATGTGGCAGCTATCAGGTTAAACTTGGGATCTTGGTGCCAAGTCTGAGCTTTGGTGTATACCTGAGTAGTTCCATGTTTTAAAACATGTAACAGACCGAGATAATCTCAATTGGAAGCTAACTAGATCCTAATACTAACCAAACTTGACTTTTATCTATATTCTCTGTGCCTACATTGCAAAAAGCACTATATGAGTGGAAAAGACAGAGAAAGAGAAGGAAACATGCAAAAGAGATCTCATCTTCATTATCTGATTTCTCAGTTTTTTGTTCCCTAAACCATATTGACAAAGTTAGTTCTCCAAGACCATGAAGACAGACAATATATAACTGGTTTATTACTTGCTGAATGTTTCGATGAAAACTATGATTTTTAAAAAGGCTATTACATATAAATAAACTCTCACAGTAGGGCAAGCATATTCTAGCCACTAAATTCTTGGTCAAGTTTTAAAAGAAAGGAAAATATTATTTACTACCTATGTGTCAGGTACTGAGTAAGCAAATTTTGCATTAACTGGCTTAGGAAAGTTACATAATGAGTGCCCAATATGTATCAGATACTACAGTAGATCCTTCTGCATAAAAACATGAGAAAAGACAATATCTGTTTCTATGCAACTCCTAATGCAGCAGAGGAAACTGATCCATACACCAACTGTGAACACAAAATAAGAGCTATAAAAAAGATGTCTACAGTCTTTCAACAAATGTTTATTAAATGCTTTCCATATGCAAAGCCCTAGCTAGGCAACTGCTGTATGGTAATTAAAGAAAGTCATGCTCCCTACTCTAATGAGCTTACAGTATAGTGGGGAAAACAGGTAATAAATAAATAAACATTAGAAACTGAAATAAGTATTATACAAATGCTATGTGACGGATTCATGGAAAGGGGTAGGAGAGCCACTTTAGATTGAAAAACCAATCTCTGGAGGAAATATAAAAATTAATACCGAAAATAAGAGTATCCATGGAAACACCAGGCAAATGGGAGTTTCAAATACAGAGAACCGCAAACACTCTTTAAAAAGAACTTGATAATTGAGGAGATAACAGTGAATTTTAGCTGGAGTTTGCCCAGAAGGAAAATGATGTGTGATGAAACTGAAGGATTACACCCACTGAGATCACCAAGAGACCAAGACCTCCCAGTCTACACATCCTAAATAAGGCTAGGCATCGGAAGGGGAGCTTACTAACAACAGACATTCTAGACTCTGACCCTGCAGACACTGACATATTAGCCTTTGGGGAGTTCTGGAATCTGTATTTGCAAATAGCTGCGCAGAGTTTGTCAGTAACCTGTCTTTTGGATTTTACTACTTGGGCTTCCCACAAGTGAAAAAAAAAAAAAGAGTATCCCATTCAATTTTAAAATACAACCCCGGAAATTAAAGCAGCTTATTTGCCTATTTCTACCTAGCATGGTAATAATGAACAATCCCAAACAGAACATATTTACACATCCAGAATCCGAGACTCACTGAAATACCATTACAAGCAGAATAGTAAAGCCCAAATCCCAATGATGACGGGAAGTAAACAGGTGCTATGGTGTTCTCAGCTGTAAGTAGTTAACCTACACAAACTTTAACTAAAAACCCACACTATACAAAGTAGAAATAACAATTACTAAACATTATTAAATACTTTAACATTTCTAACTGAATGTTACCATGTGTTCTTATTTCACAGACATCACATTTTCATCATTTTATCACTTTACTTACAAGTAAAGCACTGGAATCTCCATTTAGCTGACTATCATCTCGAGATTTCACATAACGACGATGATTTTGATAGAAATTAGACAGGCCATAATACATAAACACATTGCCCTAGAAAAAGCAGAAAGGAAAAATTTTTTCATGTAAAAACATTATGCATTACCTTGTTTCACGTATACATGATAGCTGAGTAATGTGGGCTTTCCTAGTTTATAATTGGTGATAACATAAGTGAATTCTACAAGTACTTAATGTAAAAATGGTACAATTACAAATGACATTAAAGAAGATAAGTATTATTTACATTAAAAATAACCCTATTAGCCTACTCTGAGCTACTTTCAATCTAACATCTTCTCAGATGCAGATTGGTCTTTACCCAATTACCAAGTTTTCAGACAGATAATGGGCAAACTGTCATTTACTGTCCAAGTAAATACTGAATGAATAAGGACATAAAATATGTCAACAGAATACTATATACTATTAGCAATTAATAAACTGGTAATAAGTATCTTAATAATGAGTTATTTTGTAATAATCAAGAAGAGTACTTTTTGTATTTAAAGAAGCCAACTTCAAAAAAACCTGAGAAGAAAGGGTAACTTACAAACACTACAGTTACTTAAAGGTTAAGATGCCATCTTGAATGACTAAAGGAAAACATTCAGCGGCCCCTCAAGTTACGACTGCCCTGACATTAACTTGGGTTAATTAGGTAAATGGAGGATTCATCTGCCTCTTGTTATCTATAGCATGTATCCAGGTGAACATCCAGCTCTCAGCTCCACTAACATACAACCAACTTGAGCCCTCAGAATCCACTGAGTTTTTAAGTCAAGGGTCCACTGTATTAAGCTATTTTCTCCTTTCTGGTTGCTACCTCTAATTTTTATATTCTTCACCTCAATTAAAAGGAATTCAGTTACATTATGGATCATTTATTTGATTTCTTACTTTCGTATATACTATCATTAAAACTTCATTTTCAGCCAGATGTAGTGGCACATGCTTGTAACCCCAGCACTCTCGGATGCTGAGGAAGGGTGATCACAAGTTGGAGCCCACCCTAAGCAACTGAGTGAGAATTTGTGTCAAAACAAAAAACGTGCTAGGGATATGTCTTAGTGAAAAGGCCCTGGGTTCAATCTCCCCTTTGGGGCACATACTTGATTTTCAAATGTCAGATCATGTAAACTTTCCCATTTTACATAAAGGAACTGTTTATATGGAAGTCTTTTTTTTGTAGAGAGCATATCAAAATTATATCACAGAAACAGAGGATAAGTATGCTTTCTAGCGGAAAAAAAGTATTATTTCAATTAAGAATCAGGACAGGGCTGAACACAGTGGTACTCATCCATAATCCTAGCACTCAGAAGCTGAGGGAGGAGAACTGGTGAGAGTTCGAGGCCAGCCTGGTGCTACACAGTGAATTCAATGCCAGCCTGAACTACATAGTGAGACAGCTCAACAAAACAAAACAAAACAAAATTTAAAAGGCTCAGTTCCAGAGTACCTGCCTAGTATGTATGAGTCCCTAGGTTCAATCTCTAGTATACCCCTCACAAAGTAAGTACAGTAAATTCCATTTGTAAACTGAAAATAATTTTTAAAAGGAGATTATTTCAGTGAATACTGAGATAAAATAACATATTTTAAGATCACTGAAGTCACTGAAAAGATTTTAGTCTAATCAAAGTTCATGAAAAAACAACCTATAGAAGAGTGAATCTGATGTTGATCACATTTGCAGAGAAAACTTCTGAAATAAGCGTTTTCGATTGGGAGAGGAGACTGAGGGATGGATCTTCAAAATCACTCCAAGCCTTATTTCTTCAAAAGCAAAACTGTTTTCTCTCAAATTAGCTGACATGTTTCCAATGGCAGCATTACCCTGTCCTTTATCCTGATACAAGAGCAACTACAACCACTAGAGGGCAACCATCTCTCAGGGGCTGTTAAATTATCACTACCTTTAAAGTATAGAAATACAGAAAATCTACAAAATTAGCAGGTATGAAAGCAGTCTTGTTCCCTGAAGAATAATTTTTTAAGCTCAAGTAGAGGATAGAGGACTGGACATATTGTCTTTCTACACCTATTCTGAATCTTTATAATCCTTCAACATCTGCTCAGTTGCTAAGAATGGCAGATCACTGTGAATGCAAAAGACAGAGAGACACAGAGACACACAGAGAGAGATCTAACTACTTATCAAAACACTAAAGATAAATAAGTTTCAGTGTTTGCATGTTTGCAATGCTTCATATCTCACAAAAAATAATTCAATTAAATAATGGAAGAATTAGTGTTTTCTGAAGTAGAATGTTTTACAATTGAAAGTATGCAAAATAATTTGAGAAATAATTTTAAAATACAAATACATGGACCCATAAATGACAAAAAATTTATTTGTACAGTTATAAAATTTTCCAGGGAAAGGATAAAATTTCACTTTAGTGTACACAAAGTATTAAGTAAACCATTCAAATCAAATAAATGTTAATTCTCAGACAGAAAATACAACAGCCAAGCATATAAAACAATCATTTTCAACAATGTATGGGTTCCAATAAATTAAACTGTCTTCTCTACCAAAATAAAAGTATCTAGTAAAAAAAATAGAACAATATTAGCACTTTTTTGTAAAGCACAGCTCTTCTAACACCTTACTTGGAACCACAGACCTCAAATGCCTTTTCCAGTGTGAAGTTAATGGTGCAAACGCATGGTGTCACATCCGGGGACAAACATTTATTGCAGGGACTAGAAGGCTCTGTTCCGGTATAATCAATCTGTAAGAGAAAAATATAACTAAGTACTCTCTCGGAGAAGGTGGATACCAATGACAATCTGAAATAACTTGCTATTAAAAGGAAAAACAGCTCCAACAAACCAACCTGTAGCCCAGACAACTGTTTTTAAGGTCATTTGTTTACTTTGACAGTATGAGGTATTAAACACCTAAAAGTGTCCTCTGCTGTTCTACTGGCTAATCTTTCCAATCAAAATCCCTTCTCCTTTCTACCAAAGACACATAAAATCATAAACACAAAATTCAAACTATGATATATTCATATTTAAACCGCTATTAAGTCTAAACTATTACAATTCTGATTAACAGAGATCAATAAATCAGCTTTTCTCCTTAAGTCTGAGAACCTTAAAGACTTTCAGTCACCTCAGAATTTGTACGCCTTCAAAATGAAAAGCAATTAGATTTTTAAGAGCTACTTTTAAAAAACTGGTGTTGAATCTGCCTTCTCTTTGTCCTGGGTTCCTGACAGTGAATTTCCCAGGTGACTGATCATCTCTGTTACTCATAAAGCCCTGGACTCACACCAGAGATTATGTTAACAAGATGGTTCAGGATGGGGGTTGGGCACTAAAACACCAATCGTGTGGTTGGGGCTCCAGCCTGGCCCCACCTCTGGGGTCCTGGCTTCAGTCTGGACACTGAAGTGCAGGGGCTCTCTGGTGGGTGAACCCATAATGTTCTAGGAGAGAGATGTGACCTGAGAACACAGGAGAGGGCATGGAAGCTCCCAGACCTCACCCAAGGTGTTTCTTCTGGGACCCCTCTCTCTCCCCAACATGTGAAGGGAGGGGAGTCCTACAGGAGGAGCGGACAGGGCATCTTGGAAACCTGTGGGCTTGGAGTCTGTTGGAACCAGATGGCATGAAGGTAGAGGGCCCAGACTGGAACTGTGGCTGATGTAGGGGCAGTCTTGGGGATCATGCCTGTAAACTGGGGGGATCTGATGTTTACTCAGGGTGCTCAGAGTCAGAACTCAATTGCACTATACCATAGAGAGGGACAATTGGTAGCAGACTGACCAGCACTTTTACTGAAAAGAAAGATTTTAGCAGACCCACCAAAGAAAGACGAAGAATAAGATAAAGAGGGGCCATTAGAGAAGAAATAAGGTATAAAACACAAGGCACATTTAAGGACAATGAGCATAAATATTCCAGATTTACAGAGTTTTATATTGGGAGTAAATGAGACAAGGATAAGAAGCTAAACTGGAGCCATAATGATAAACCATGTTTTCCTGACTACTATTATCAAATGTGTACAAAGTGTACACAGGCAGTACAATCATTTAATACCTATCATCTCACTTAAAAAGTGCAATGGCCCTCCAAAGTTTGTTTTATTTTCCTTATCCTAAACTAGGACAGGATGGGATATAGCTCAATGGAAAGGCATGAACAAAGCCCTGGGTTCAAATCTGGACGCAACCCCCCCCTCAAAAAAAAGAACCTATAAAACTGTCATTTAGGAAGGATTAGTAATTTTCCCCCAATCATCTACTTGGTAATTCTGAACAAGAGTCTGAACCTAGCCTTCCCTGTCTCCAACACCCGTGGCTCTTCCCATCACCATCTCTCTTACATAACGGTCATGTCCTCTCTGACAGGACCTTCAGAATAAAAATGAAGAGAAACTTCTGATGAATAACTGAAATTATTATTGTTCTTATTAAGCTGCCAGCATCCAAATGCATCTGCAAGTATTTGGAATGCTCCTCTGTGAAAATGTTGGAAGGACACAGAGCTCTACTTCTCACTTCAGAAGATGAAGAGAGAAATGGGTCCTTCCTCTCCTTGACCCCATCGTAGCCAGCACACAGGCACAAGGTCTAGACTGAGCAATCAAACACACCCACACAAATCATTAGATCCTTCACGGCAAGGGCAAGAGTGCCAATGATTACATCAGCAGCCATGGCAATACTCTAGAAGGGAGACTTCAGCAGCAGCTGACTGTTCATGCTTTCAAAGTTCCCCACCACCACCTGTCTCCAAATTGGATTCCTTATACTCCTCATCCAATCCCTTTCCAATAAATTCTCTGAAAGCTAAGCAACCTGAGTGTTAAAATGTCCTGTAGGATAAATAAGGAACGAGGGAGATTGTTTAGAAGAGTAACAATATTAAACACACACAATAGATTACATGAGCCTAGGAAACTGGAATTGCCTTCCTTCCTAAATGCCCCATCATGATGTAATCACTCATTCACCTAATATTAAAGAATGCTTATACATTCTAGGCATTGAAGATTCAGCCTAGCACCTGTCCACCCAGAGCTCAGCATCTAACATAGAAAACAGTCATTAAAATTGAATGGGTAGGGCAAGGGATTTAGCTCAGTGATTTCGCTGCCTGCTGCGTAAGCGCAAGGACCCAAGTTCGATCCCCGGTACCAAAAAAACGGCCAAAATTGAATGTGTATCTTGGTAAAAGAGGACAAGTTCCAAGGAAGCACAAACTTGTCTAGTAGTCAGCAAGTTTCTCCAAGAGATCCCACCTACAGGGAGACAGCACAGTACAAAACAATGCATCTCTGAATGAGGGCTTATCACATAAATAGACCCCAAAGCTACATGAATTTAGAACTTCAAGTAAAGTTCTGAATTAGAGAACTTTCAAAATCAATCATGGGATTCAGATATCTAATCATTCTTCAGCACATGTTTATAAAACGGGCCATCAAAACTAGAAAAATTTAAGTCTGGGTAGGGGGAATACATTACAGAGTAGAAGCTAAAGGTCTCGTAACTTTAAGCCACTGTAAGCTTGAACAATGTGGCTTTCCACCCCAGAAATGGACAGATAAATGGATACCACTGGAGAGAACCATTCCAGCCTGCTCTTCATATTGGAACATTGAAAGCAAGTAGATTCCTGGTAGTGACCACATGGAAAGTGTCCAGAGGTAGCAGCCTTCTTAGATACTGGTAGCCATGTGACGAAAAAAACTGCAGCCACAACAAAGCTCATTCAGTTGACATCAGGTGCAACAGACATCAGACTAAAATTAACCCTGCTCCAGTAACAACATCAGAAAACTAGATTTATGAGTTTGAATTTTATGATACCACAGAAGCAAATTTCTCTGCTTAGTCACTGAGAAATCTCTGGCATAAAGAAGGTTGGCTCTTAAAGAGTGAAGTAGTGGGCCGGGGATTTAGCTCAGTGGTTCTGCCGCCTGCCTCGCAAGCACAAGGTCCTGAGTTTGATCCCTGGTGCCAACAAAAAGAGTGAAGTAGTAATTGTCCATGTTCTTCCCTCAAAGGAAATAACATAAATTACATTATTTCCTACCAAAGACTCAAAAATTAGTCAGTAGGGCAACCCACTCAAGACCCCTCCTTGTCTCTCAGAAGCTATTCCTATTCCCCAATAGGTCTTTCCTACTCTTAACTTCCTTTGTCCTTTGGAATTTATTCTTTGATTTTAGGGGACACAAACTTAGCACATGTGACATTTAGCAGGTTGTGAATTATATCTCTTCTGTATCATCTCAGAAGTCCCACCAAGACCTTTGGAAGGAGGTGAGAGTTTGCTTTGGTTTCATGGCAACCCTAAATATTTTGACTGGATTCTGGATTGTGACTCATTTAGGTAATCAAGATTGTCATCTTTTTGTTTGTCAGTTGCTTGTGCCTTGTCTTTTTGTTAAAATTTTGGAAAAAGATTTAAGTTGAGAGCATGTGGAAATTATGACGCTTCTGTTTCTTTGATGGGACATTTTATTTTTGCAGCCAGGTTCTTATACTCCTGTTTTGCATATGCTGCATTTAGAACTTACTAGTTGCTGAATATACTTGTATTCCTTGCTTGACTTATTTGACAATTACAAGATGGTCTGTTAGACAGCAACACTGGGGAAAGGTAACGTTGGAGCTCCCCTACTGGACTTTGACACTTTAACCAAAATGTGAATTTGTAACATGCTGTGGATGCCGTTCTTAAATCTGGGAGGACAAGATTCACTGGAACAGTCTGGCCTGATCCCCCCTCTATGCTCATGGAGGGGAACATCAAGCCTGTTCTGCCTTAGTTTCCTTTTAAGTCTGACCCTGCACTGGTGAGGCAATCTTAACTCTTGAGATTCCCTGCTTCGCCTTCCCAGGCTGAGGGTGACAACTCACAGACTGTCTCATTAACTCACCTTTTCCTGTCACTTTGTTGTTGTTTTTTTGAGGTGTTTCTGCTAAAAATGGAGGGAGGGGGAGACAACTATAGATATAGAGATAGAGATTAAGAGATAGGCCCTGAAGGGTTTTAGTCAGCCTTTCTCTCCTTTCCAACAACTGAAACTCTCAAGTTGAACCTACAGAAAATGAGTGTTTGTTTATAAAAACACTACAGACAGGAAATCATCTTAGATGAGGAACACATAGCCCCATTCCTGGGGAAGGTAAGACTTTGGAATTTCGCTCATTCAGGAAGACTCATCAAGGGCGAAGTCCCTACCCATGCCTAAGCACAGTTTCCCATCCAGTGAGAGCAGGAAACTGGACCTGCGACCTAGTGGAAAAAGCCAACCACTGGGTGAGACCAGAGGGAGCTATTTCCACAAGCACAACACTTGTGAGATCCAAAACATATTCAGTTCAAGGGGGGATTTCTGAACTGCTCTTATCTCTCATTCAAAACCCAACTACATAAGCTCCATCCACCTAATACCTTGGCTCCCCTTTTTTGGATGGCTGGGATCATGTCCCAACCCATGCAGATCAAGTGGCCAATTAGGTGGTATTTGACAATATCCTCAGGACTTGGTAAAGCTATGGACTTAACAGAGAAGGAGCCCAATGCTTTACTTTTTTCTCTTGCTCTCTCACTCCCTCACACTCTCAAAAACATCCCAAACTGCCCTTGTAGATCTGATTCTTACCATTTATGTAGGTAGGGGAGGAAATAAATTGGCATATGAACTTTCGCGTATGTACAGTCTGTGGTTGCTGAGCAATGTATAGACTTGAACCTGTGAGTTTCA